CCTAAATCACTCGTACGCACAATTTAAGAACAAATCTGTGCGTACGAACGGTTCTTGCATGAGGCCCATTCAATCTAAAACCAGTATGTCACTTGACTGCCGCTGATAGAGACAAACTGCAAACAGCATTCGTAAGAAAGCCTCCAAAATGTCGCAAACAGTTTATCTTCCCCAGAGTTAACTGCACCTTGAACCCTTTCCAATTTAGTTTCTGTGATCATAGAGTGCCAGAGCTGTAATATTTGTTAATTGCCACCTGTTTATTATTTTCACAGCTTCCTTCCCGCGCTCTCATTATGACACCTTTTTACCATTTGACAGGTGGACCAACCTCAATCCACCTCCACACCTGCCTGTCCCGATGCAGATCACAGCAGCATGAGCTGAGTGAACGACACCACTTAGAGCTCACCTCCCACCTCACTTGATAAGTGGAAAAAATGAATAAAATAGTGGCATTTTACTGCAGCCAACTGAGCAGTAACAAGTCTGTGATGCCCATAGATGTCAGAGGGTGCAGCTGCTTTACACTAATTAATAAGCTACATTTTATTTGCTGTCTCCATTTCCTGAAATTGATGTGTAAATACAGACTAGCTGCAGACTCTCAGTACAAGTGTACTAAATCACATCTTGCTTAAAGAAAAATCACAACCTACCCTGCTTGTGTTTTGGGGTAAATATACCTAGTACTATATTATTTATTTTAGTAGATTAAAGTGTTAAAAAATAACATTTTAAATTTCCTTCTGTCTTTAATTCTGGGGGCAGCAACATTCCTAAATGTCCAGCTCTAAAACCTATGCTGCCTATCTTCATTTCAAAGTGTACTTCAACAGATTAAATCAGAGTAATAGAAATGACTGTTGAGGTGGGCTTAAAGCGAGCTTAGACAGTGTTGGCGAAGGTGGACAACAATGTAATGTGTTTGGCCAAGAAAACAGTTTTTCAAGACGTAACATAGACTATAAACGAGACCACAACACTCGATAGTGACTTGGTCTCAAGCAGTAACAAATCACTGGAAAGATCACCTGTTTTTTCACAATTATGAATCACCTAATATCTTCAAACAGTCGCAGACCGATAGGATACTCCAGTCTAACACATACAGTCATGGCTGAAAGTGTTGGCACCCCTGAATTTTTTCCAGAAAATTAAGTATTTCTCCCAGAAAATTATTGCAATTACACATGTTTTGTTATATACATGTTTATTTCCTTTGTGTGTATTGGAACAACACAAAAAAACAGAAGAAAAAAAGGCAAATTTGACATAATTTTACACAAAACTCCAAAAATGGGCCGGACAAAATTATTGGCACCTTTTCAAAATTGAGGGTAAAAAACTCTTTCAAGCTTGTGATGCACATTTAAACTCACCTGTGATAAGTAACAGGTGTGGGCAATTTAAAAAAATCACACCTGAAACCAGATAAAAAGGAGAGACGTTGACTCGATCTTTGCATTGTGTGTCTGTGCGTGCCACACTAAACATGGAGAACAGAAAGAGGAGAAAAGAACTGTCTGAGGACTTGAGAACCAAAATTGTGAAAAATATCAACAATCTCTTCTCCATCTCCAGAGATCTTGATGTTCCTTTGTCCACGGTGTGCAACATAATCAAGAAGTTTACAACTGATAAAAGGTTGCAACGCAGGATAGTCCGGATGGTGGATAAGCAGGCCCAATCAAGTTCAAAGAAGTTCAAGCTGTCCTGCAGGCACAGGGTGCATCAGTGTCAGCTCGAACTATCCATCGACATTTGAATGAAATGAAACGCTATGGCAGGAGACCCAGGAGGACCCCACTGCTGACACAGAGACATAAAAAAGCTAGACTGCAGTTTGCCAAAATGTATGTAAGTCAGCCAAAATCCTTCTGGGAAAACATCTTGTGGACAGATGAGACCAAGATGGAGCTTTTTGGTAAAGCACATCATTCTACTGTTTACCGAAAACTAAATGAGGTCTACGAAGAAAAGAACACAGTACCTACAGTCAAATATGGTGGAGGTTCAAAGATGTTTTGGGGTTGTTTTGCTGCCTCTGGAACTGGGTGCCTTGACTGTGTGCAAG